GCAGGAAAATCCCACTGTTGATTTGGGGGATATGTTTACATCCCATCCTAGTAAAGGGGGTGACTTCCACTCCTTTCCACTATGCCAGTAGTAAATCTGAACTAAACACAGAAAAAGAAAAGTCCTTAAGTTGCTCATGCTGACATCCATGTCTTCCCACTAGGGTTCATTTTTTTCTCTTTTCTATTTTTCAGTAGTGGAATAAATAGTTACCCATTTTTATTACTTCTCAATTTTAATGGGAGTTTGGGGTGATGGACAATTAATATGTTAGCATAAATCACAATCTTGACCTAGACATCTCCAAAATCTTTTTTCCAAGAAATTCAATTAGTGTTGCATTTCCCATATAATTACATATTCCTCAAGGCACAATTTAATGCCTTTATAATATTCCCTTACTTGAAAATATAATGATTTATTTTTTAATTATTTATTTCATTTTCTTTATCATTATTATTAATTTTTAATTTATTACATTTGTTACAGGGCATATGTGCTCACCACAGAGACAAAGAGAGAGAAAGAGCGAAAACGAGAAAGCAAGACACCAGGACTGGGACTCAAACCACAGTTAGTAATGGGCAAGTCCAGCGCTTTCACCACCATGCCACCTGCTGGCCCCATAATGATTTATTTAATATTCCCATGTTGTTGAATGTTTCACATTACTTTCAATTTTTTACTATTATAAAGAAGTTTTCCATGAACATCAGTATTTGTCTACATCCTTGTTTGTTGTCTTAGGATATATTTCTAAAAGCAGAATTATTGTGTCAATGGCCCTCAATACATATTGCTAAATGGCCTTTTAGAAAATAGGCACTCATTCAAAACTCAACCAAGAATGTATGTCAGAATTATTAAAATTTGTATAATTGCTTACATGTTTTTATCACATCTTTATCCTTTTGGTAATTAGTTGTGTATGTCCTTAAACTTTCTTTTTTGTTAGTATATTGTAACTTTTTCTTATTAGCTTGTGATAGGTCTTAATATATTACAGATATAAAAATGTTTTCACTCTTATTTGTTTTTACAAGGTTTTTATTAGCTTTACAATGTTTATAATGATTACAGAATATTTTTCTTTTTAAAATTAGTCAAGTGTTTTAATCTTTTTCATGGATGATTTCTTCTAGTCATTAAAACCACATTCAGAGTTATTGAACATTAACTAATATATTTTATAATTGTTTTGCAAATTTATATAACTCTTTAATCCACCAGGAAGATCTTTTTGATTTGTGCATATCATGAAGATGGTAGTGGGGATCTCCAGAGACATAAAACCAGCAAAATATACAGAGAGATGCATAATGAAAAATTATTTTAAGGAACTGGCTCATGCAGTTGTGGAAGTTGGCAAACCTGAAAATTGTAGAGGTGGTAGACAGACTGGACATTCAGGTAACTACTGATGTTATAGATCTAGAGTCTGAAATCCATAAGGCAGGCCAGCAAGCTAGACACTCAAGTAGAGTTTCTTCTATGTTGCAGTCTTAAGGCAAAAATGTTTCTTATTTGAGAAACCTCAGTCTTTTTCTTTAAAACGTTCAATTGATTGGCTGAGTTCCACCCACATTACAGAAAGTACTTTATTTTTACATAAAGTTATCTGATGGTGAATGTTAATCACATCCCCAATTGTCTCCACAGAAACATCTAGACTGGTGCTTAACTAAATAATGTGGATTGAAGTTTATACACACGGACATATAATATTAACCACTGTAAGTATCTCCATTTTTATGGTATCTATATTGAGATAATTTCCTATTTCTCAGTCATCCCATCCTCTCTTATATTTGTATGCCCCTTTTAAATTCCTGTGTATTATAGTAGTATTTCCTATCTTTTATATATTTCATTTACATGTTTGTATTTTATAACATATACACAGTCATTATTCATTGAGTTTTTGTAATATACTTGAATATCTAATAGGTCGGGATTCTGTGAAATCTCATTTCCTTTTTAATATTTTTTTGCTCTTTTTAGTTTTTGCTATAGGGCACATGTACTTGCCTGAGAGAGAGAGAAAGTAAATGAGAAATCCCCGAGGGAGGATGGTCAAACCACTTAAATCCCTCTTCACTATTTTCTGCTCAGGGTTTTGGGCACCACACACATACAACCAGCATGGTTTTCAAGCCTCTGGATCTGGTACTCAAACAATAGAGCTGGCCGTGTGGGATCCAGTTGCCTTAACCACCACACCATGAGCTGACCCTACATCTTTTTACATTAGTAAAAAAGTGCCCTTATATCCCTTGGATGGTTTCCTCAAATCAAATTCAAAGTCCTTATTGTGACCCATTATACTTTATAAGATTGAGGTCCTTAATTGACTCTCTACTTCAATATCACCTCATTCATTGTACCCCACCCTCAATGTTTTCCATGGCACGCACATTTCCAATTCAGCCTCTTTCTCTTACTCTTTTTCTATGCTAGTTATTCCATGACTTTGGCCCTAATTTTTCTTTCAGATCTCTACCCAAATATTTCATCACAATAAAAATAAGGAAGTAGAAGACAACTTTGAGTTTCCTGACAGATAAGTTTTGGGGAAAACTAAATCTATATTCAGCATACATCGTCCTTTAAAAATTAAAATAAATTTTTTAAGCTATGAAATAATTTATATAAATTTATTCTTTTCATATCCTTATAAAAACTTGTAAAAATGAAAGCATTTACATTGCACTTAAAAAAGGAAAAAAAAAAGTTGAAATAAGTTACAATATGAAACCAGATATTATCCTGAGAATGAAATCAACAGGGAACTGAGTGAAGACCAAGTCTGGAACTTACAGAGTGTTGAGCAGATACTGAAACAATTTTAGTTTTGCCTAATGTCACATGCAGTTGACATTTGTATTAGCAGTAGATCTTCCTGCCTTAATAATGTATCAGAAATCATCCATAAAGAGTGAGGATTGTAAGTTTTATCATACCATTTTCAACTAATTTGCTTTTTATCTTTCTCCCACCTACTCCAGATGTTTCTCTTCCAGTAATTCCTGAGCATTCTATAGAGTCTAGAGCGAAGACTGGTTTTGTTTTGTTTTGTTTTGCTTTGCTTTGTTTTTGCTAGAGTGACTGTATTCACCAGACACAAAGAGAGGGAACATGAGAAATAGCAACACCCTCCCCCAAAAGAGAAGCACAATCCCTTCTCCTCCAGCCTCCTTTCAGGATTTTGGGCATGCACACACATGTACCAGCATGATTTTCAAGGCACCAAGTTCAGGACTTGAACTGTGGAGTTGCCCATATGGGATCCAGTACTTTAACCTTCTTGCTGCCTACTGGCCCCAAGTAGTTTTTAAAATGAGGAAAGTTGATAACTCTCCCTGGGTAATAATCTAATAAGAAAATCAGAAGATAAAGAATTGAACCTTGTGAAATACTAACAGTAAAAAATGGTCAAAAAAAGAGAAAATAGTGAAGAAAGAATTCTGTAAGCACAAAAGACACTAGAAATTTGTGTTGGTAAGAAAACCAGATGAGTTTTAAGATGCAAGAATGATCAGGAGTATCATATTTGAGCATAGAAATTAAGATATTAGGGCTAAAAATAGTCTACTTGAATTTGGTAACTAAATGGTCATTGGCACTTTTAGCACAATTATCTATGATTATTAAAAGAAGCTAGTGTTCTAAATGGAAACATTTTGATGAATTTACTATCCAAGCATGTATCTAACAGCAACGTCAGTTACTTAAAATCATTTCAAAGTGGTAAAGTTATTTAGAAAAGAGTGATTACCAAGAAAGTATTGGAACAATGCAGAATAAGAAATTCATTTGCCTCTTGATGAAGCTGGAAATACAGTTACTAAAAACCTATATGCTGAAGGAAGCTAACATAAAATTGGTATCAGCTGTCACTATCTTTTACAACTTGGGTTATGAGGCAACATAACACTGGAATAAACAAAAAATCACAAATACAAGTTCTGTTTAGATACTTGCCAGAAATTTTGGGGGGAGTGGGGAGAATTTTCATTTTGTTTTGTTTATAGTCAGAGTCGCAAGACTAATCTAAATGTAGAAGAGTTTTACAAACAGAGGTTAGATATAACTATATCAAGTCTTATTTCTATGCAGATCGATGAAGCAAAGCTAGTATGGTTTATTTTTTTATCTAAATAATTATTTGAAGGTTTAAGATTGTTCCTTCTCTGATATTCTATATTAATGTTAGCCTTATTTGAATGGGTATTATAATTTTATTGTGCCTTATTTTACACAAATATTCTTCCAAAATTATGTTCTGAAAATTCATTGACTGAGAATAATTACTCCCTAGAGCAATGGGTTACCCAGCAGTGTCACAGTTAACTGAAATACAGTTCACTGAAATTGAACATGTCAAGTCTCCTCTTCATAGTATCATTTCATTAAGAATTTTCTAGGGAAGAGAAGTTTAGTCAAATCTAGTCATTAAAGAAAAAAGTATTTTCTAGATAAAATATCTTTATCAAAATTTGTAACTATTGAGATTATACAAAATATTGGGTTGTTGGGACAGTCATGACTTTCTTGACAATGTAATAATATTTTTTAAATTAGTTTTCTAATACTTTCATTGCTTTTGATGCTTTCTGTTTATGCTTCAGATACAGTTTAAGATTTGAACAGAGGAAAAAGAGCTCCTCATCTTCCTTTTAACTCAGTTCATTACCTGGACTCCATAGTTGGTTTCAGGTGTTCTCTGGAATAGTAGGCAAAGAGATAAAGTTTTATTTATTTATTTATTTATTTATTTATTTATTTTCATTGTTATAAAGCATCCTAAGTAGAAGAGGACCATGAAAAATAAGCATGTGACTTAGAAAGTCTCACAGAAGATTACCTGCTATAATTAGGAACACAATTCAATACTCTTGATTTACAGATAGTGTTTTCTTTTATCTTTATGTCTAATTGCTTTTTTATTCCTTTATAAGTAAAATCACATGGCATGATTATATAGATAATATAGTATTTAAAGATAAAATACAATCTATTCTCTTCATTGAAAATTTTACTTTTGCTATTCAATCACTTTTCCATTGTTGGCATATACATAAAAATGCTTTGATAGATCTCTTTATGCACTACCTCCTGCAAAAGGAGATGCCTTTTTGTTTCTGACTCAAATTGTTTTGTTTTGGTTTTTGGTTTTTGAGATTAAAATGCCTGAATTTAGCTCCTAAAGTAAGATGATCATCTGGTAATGTCTAAATATCACTGTAAAAGATTAAGAATCTAAGTGACTTGAAATTATAATCTGGAAATAAATATGAACTACTGAAGTGTACTAAATAGCTACAATTTACTAGATATTTCAAAGTATTTAAATTATTTTTGAATTATTTATAGAACATTCATATATTGATAATAAATTTTTAATGTATTTGTGTATGAGGGCATATTTTTGTCTATGTGAAGGTAAACTAAACCAAAGTAGATATTTAAGTAATATATCTAGTGTAATTAGGCTGAAAAAGACACACTTTCCATTTCACAGTAAGTATGTTCTTGTAAATGAGATTCTATATATATATATGTAAAGTATGAGGGGCCAGCTGGTGGCATAGTGGTTGAGGTGCTGGACTCCCGTATGGTCGACCATGGTTTGAGTCCCAAACCTGGCAACTAGAAACTCATGTTGGGCATGCATATGTGTGTGCCCAAATCCTGAGAGGAGAATAGAGCAGAAGGGAGTGCAGTGTGGCTGTAACCCCTGGGTGGTGTTTCTTGTTTTCTGTTTCTCTGGCAAGTGCCTCCATTCTATTGAAAAAATCCCAGACAAAAAAAAATTTAAAATAAAATAAAAAGGTACGATTTCTTCTTTGTTTTTTATAATGTCTATTTTTTAAAAATTCTTTAAGCAGCATTTTTTTTATAGCAACCCAAGAAGAAAATAACATTTATACACACACACACACACACACACACACACACACATATATATATATTTATACAATTATTTATTTTAATTCGACCAGAGAGGGACAGAGTGAAAGACTGATAGAGAGAGGGAAAATGAGAAAGCAAGCTGCCAAGTCCAAGACTAGAACCATTAGAACCATAGTTGACCATGTGGAAGATCAATGCCCTTAACCACCATGCCACCAGCCCTCAATATTATTTATAACAACCTTTGCTATTATTTAGAAAATAAATATGTTTGACAAGAATAATTTACCTTATAATTCATATTTTACTTAACAAATGTAATTACTTCCTAATTCCCTTTCAAACATTAACTTAATAAATTTTGTTATCTTTCTCCTGATAGGTTTATATGTGTTATTATCTTATAATGTATAAGTGTTTGATTTCTCTATTTTTCTTTTCTTTTCTTTTATGGGGGGGTTTGCTATGGGGCACATGCATTCGCTGGAGAGACAGAGAGACAGAAAGGCTATGCCGCAATCCCTTCTTCCCCATTCTCCTCTCAGGATTTTGGGCATGCATGCACACACACTAGGTCTGAGTTTTAAGGTTTGAGACTCGAACCACAGTAAACTACGTGGGAGACCAGCAACATAACCATTATACCATCTGCTGGTCCCAGATTTCTCTATTTTTCTATTTTCAACTTCTGATTTACTCTTTTTTCTGTTCTTAGCCTTCAATCTTGCATCAATCTTTCAAATGCATTTTGTTTCATTCATTGCTACTTTCAAAATAGTTATAATTTGGTATGTTTTAGGCAAAGTACATTTAAACTGG